TAATTATTTTATATTATAATATTAATATTAATCAAAAAAACATTAATTATATATTATAAAATATATTTATTTTCTATTTAATATAATTTATATTTAATTTTTTTCATAAAATTAATCTTCAATATAATATTTTTATATTAGAAAAAAAATAATTAGAAAAAGAATAATTATATTATAAAATTTATTAATAATAATTTATAATATATATATTTTTTTTTTAATAATAATATTTTATAAATATAAAAAATATAAATGATTTCTTAACGAAGTCAATTATGCAGCTAAAATGTAGGAGATGTATTAATTGGTTAAATAGATATAAATATAGATAATGAAAAATAAGAAAGTACAAAAAATAAAAACGAGTAAATAAATAAATAAAAATAAGATTTAAAAGAAATACCAAAAAAAGAAATACTAAATCACGAAACTAGAGATAAATAAGTTTTATTAGAAAAAAAAATATATATAAATGATATATAAAAGGATAATTAAATATTTTAAAATGATAAAATAAATTAAAACATAGATTTTACTTTATAGTAAAATAGAGAGATTTTCGAGAATGAATTTTTTAAAAACTAACAAATAAACAGTATTGAAGAATAAAAAGAATTATAAAATGTTTTAAAAATACCCAATTGTTTAAAATATACATCTGTTTTCCTCAGTATATTAGGGATTATTTTGTTTATTGTTGGATTTATTGTCTGCTTTAATGATGAAGAGATTGATTTTTCAAAAGGAAGTGGATTTTGGTTTATTGGATTAATTTGTTGTATTCCAGGATTATATTATGTATATAAAATAAGTAAAATTAGTATGGCTAAATAAACATAGGATAAAATTTAATAAATAAAATCAATACCATAAACCAAGTGATTTTTAATATCACTTTGCTTTTTTATTTAAAATAGAATCTAACTGGTGTACGAATTTTAATAAATTACAAGATTTCATTATTTAATTAAATCTATTAATAGTTTATTACATTAATTTAGACATACCTAATAATAAAATTAATAAAAAATGTTATTTAAAATAATAACTTACCTTAATTTAGTATTATATATAAATTAATATCATTGTAAATTATTTTAGACTTATTTATATAATTTTTTTTATATTTAATTTATTATTATTATTACATAAGTCTCTTGAGAAAAAAAAGATTTTATAATTAAATAAAAGTTAAAAAAAGTATATTATATCCATATATAAATAAACAAAATATATTTATATTTTATAACTAAATAAATTTTTTAAATTGCTAAAATAAATTTTTATAAAAAATAATAATTAATTAATATTTTTTTTTTATATGGAATAATTTATATTAAAATAAATAATTTTTTTTTTCAAACAAAATCACTATCTAATTTTATAGGTGATATTTTTTCACCGCAAATAAGTTTTCTTATTTTTTCTTCATATTATTTATTATTTAAATTTTCTTCTTATTAATTTGAAACTAAGCAAGCTCCTCTTCTTTTACTTGATTAAATTCTTTAAATAATTTTAAACCAAAAAAAATTATTAAAAAAAAATAAAAATAATATATATATATATATATATTTACTTTTATTTTAATTCCTTTTCACTTAAATATTCGCTTTAATCTGAATAAGAAGATTCTATTTCTGAATGGGATTTTATAGTTTATTATGCTTAATTTGGTTTATTAGTATTTTGAATATTTATATTAGAGCTTTTATTATCATTTATATCTTATTGTTTATAATTATTTGCATTATTTTCATTATTTACAATAATTTTTTAGGCTAAATTATTTTTAGTATTTAATATATTTTGATTTATTTTTTATTTTTAAATATTTATATTATTTTAAGTTTCTTTCTCTATTTTTTATTAAAAACTGTATAAATTTTTTATTAATTTTAACATTTCTGAATACTATTTTTCAGCATTGACTTGAATTTCTTTTAAATCATATATTTAATCAAAATCTTTATTAATTATTAAAGGTATATCATTAGATTTGAAATAATTAACTAAAGAATCTAAAAACTTAATAAAAATTAACTACCAATTTCCATTTATACCTTTTTATTCAATATTATCTATTTCAATATCTTTTAAAACATTATAGAACTCTTTACATTATTTTTTTACAAAAGAAATGTCTTATTAATTATCCTTTTTTAAATCTAAAATACAAAAATATGTTTTTTCTATTATTTTGTTTATATTTTAGTATTTATAAGTATTAAAAAATTATTTTTTTAAATATTTTTTTATAGAAATATCAAAATAATCAAAATTCATTTTTTATAAATATTCTTTAATCATATTAAAGCAATCTTAAACACTCAGAAACGTATATATTTCTTCATTGTTTAATTATTCGAAAGGAATAAGATGACTATTTTCTAATACTTAATAGAAATTTTAGAATAGGATATTAAAAGATTAATTAATAAGACATTTAAAATAGAAATAACTTTTCATATTTTATTAATAACCAATTAATTTATTAGTTTAAAATAATTAAAATAAAGTACTATTTTATCGTTATTTACTAAAAGAAATGACATTTATTATTTTTTTTAATTATTTGCTTATAGAAGTACATTTTATTTTTCCAAAAAAGTTTTTCGTTAATATATTTTTATAAATAGCTTTTTGCAAATTATCCCTAAATATCTTTTCACAAAATACTTCTTCGTTTATTATTATATTGTTAATTTATTCGAAATTGTAACATAGAATATTATAATATTCTAAAATTTAACTTTATAATTATGTATCCTTGTTTATTTATAATATATTATTTAAATATTTTATTTGCTTCCTTATTTATCCTTCACTGTCTTAGAAAAATGTATTTTCCCATTATTCATTATTTTAACTTTATACACTTATTGTATTATTTATACTATCTATTGCTTAAATTTAATCTTTTTTTATAAATCCTACATTTATAAATAACATTTTTAATCCATTGAAGCTTTTGTTTGAATTTTTCTATAATTATTAGATTAACTTTCTTAAATTTTAATAATAAATTTCGTTTTTTTCCTATTCTTCATAATAGAGATAAATTATTAAATCAGTTCCACTAAATTATCTTTTTTTATTATTTATAGTTATATATATATATATATATATATATATATATATATATATATATATATATATATATATATATATATATATATATATATACTTGTAATTTAAATTTTGTAGATTTTATGCTTAATATAATTAAAGCGTAAAATCTATTTTAATATTTTTTATTTTTAGTTCCATTTAATACAAATCTAAATCTAAATCTAATTAATCTGTAGGTTTATAAAGATTTTATATTAAATTATCTTTCATTTTCTTTTTTTTTATAAAAGTAAATTTTTATTTTAATTTTTTTTGAATAAAAACTTTTAATAGATTATTTGAACTATCATAAACGATTATTAATTTATAATATATCTAATCATATGTATTTTATTTATTTAAAAATATAATTGAAGCTATTAATTAATACAATTAATTTTTTTTTCTTAATTTTTATTAAATTTATCATAAAATTTGAATAATTATTATGTTTATAAGATTTGCACTTCGTTTTTATCAATGTTTTTTTATTATTATTATTTTTATTATTCAAATATAATTAATGTTTCATCTTTTGATTAATTTTATTTGGAAGAAGTAATACCGTATTAAGTAACAAAGTTTTTTCTTTAAATAAAAATATTTTTTTATTTTTTTATTTTTTTTTTTACTTATAATCATCAATTAATTTTTGCTATTTTTTAATTTGTTTTAATTATTTGACATTTTTTTTCCAATTATTAAAAGATTTCAATAAAACAAATGCTTAATAGAATAATTTAATTTGATTTTCAGAATTTTTTTATAATGATATTATCAATTAATTAACCATTTATTGTCTATATTTAATTACCATTTATTAAAATTATTATATCAATTATAATTTTTTATTCTCTTCTTAAACTAATTATAATTATTTTTGTTTATTTTAAAAGTTTATTCCTAGTTCTAATTTAGGCCTATTTTTTACCTAATTATCTTTTTAAACTAAAATATCTTAAATATCATTTTATCTTATTATTTTTTCTTAATCTTAAGGTATTTTATATTTTATTATTGGTTTAATTCCCATCTCCATATATATTAATTCATCAATAAGTTCATTTGGAAAATTATTTTTATTACTTTCTAATTATTCATTTATCTATATTTTTTTATATTTAAATTTAAAAATAATGCATATATGTATTTTACTATATTAGTAAAGTATGCATTTTTATGTCTTTTTTCAAGTTAAATATATACACCTGGCCAATATTCTTTAGTAACATCTAGTTTTCCTTATTCATAACAATTTAAGAATTTTTCAAATTAATCTGGTTCGTTTTCTTCTAATTTCATTAATGATTTTAAAAATTCATAATCGAAATCTGTCATATTTTTCTTATAAAATTAATCAACTATTATTTTTCGCATTTTTGTCAACATTAATAACATCACATTTGAAAATACATAATCTAATCTTTTATCTTCATTTAAAATTTAAAAAAATTTATAATAATTTAAACTCTAATAACAACTAATGACCTTTTTTTATTTTACAAAAAAAATTAAATTATAATATTTTTTAAAATTACTTCTAATGCTAATTATACTTTTTCTGAATATAAAAGTGTGTTTCCGAATAAAAGCATTAATTTTTAAAGTCTCCATATATTTTCATTTTTATCAAAATTAATAATTAATGTATAGGCGAAATATTCTGGCATATAAGGTGAAATATAAAAAGATTTATTATTAACTAATTAATTTTTTAATTACTCAATATCGATATTTTATTTTTATTTTTAATCCTGAATATATTTCATAACTCCATTTAAAATAATTTAATAATATTTTATTAAGTGATAACATAAAGTTTGTATTTATTCTAAATGTTTTTTTCTGAATATCCGCATTCTTTATTAGCAAAATTCTATTTATCTTATTCAGTTAACTCTTAATCTAATTAATATTAATGCCTCCATCTATTAATAACTATTAAATAAATTTTCAATAATAATTCAATAGTAGAAATCATTTCACTTCTACACATATCTATATATGTTTGAAAAAAAATAATAATAATTAAAAAAAGGTTTACATAAAGAACAATATGAAGTTAAAGGCTCAATATCTTTATAAATAGCCCTAAGTCTATCAGATAAATATAGAATCATTTAATTTTATTAATCTTTATTTTTAGAAAAGGCTTTTTCTTTTTCATAATTAAAAACATAATTAATTACATGATTTACACATTTTAATAATGCATAAGGAGACCTTAATTCTTTTAATTCGACTTTTTTATTTGCATCACTTCTTTTATATTTTTTAAAAGTTAAGCTTTTATTATATTTATTATTTTTATCTTTCTCAAAAAATGCGAAATTTCGGAATTTATCTTTTATTTCTTGTTCCATGTTATTCCTAAATTCTTCTTCTGTTATCATATCTTAGCACATTTATTCCACTATACTACGTTAATTTTATAATTCTATATATTATTATTAAGAAAGCAATTCTATATTTTCTTAATTGCCTTCTTTTAGTTAAAAAATTTATTCTATATAATCTTTATTTCCATTTATTTATTAAATTTCTTCTCCTTCCCCTTCCTATTCAACTTCAACATCTTCTTATTCGTTTTCTTCTTCTTCATCTTCATCTTCATCTTCATCTTCATCTTCTTCTTCTTCTTGTTATTAATAATTATCATAATCATCATCATATTCATCATCATCATCATTGTCATCATTATCATCATCATCATCTTCTTCGTATTCTTCATTATCTAAGTCATCATCTTATTGTTATTCTTCTTCTTCGTCAAAATAATTTTATTGCTTTTTGTGTTATTTTTGTTAATATTATTAAGCCATTCTCTATTAATCTATTTATGGTAATTAAGCTGCTTAAGTTCTTAATTAATTTAGATTTATTACTCTCCCATTCCAAGCGGCTGATTATGATTTATATGCTTACGGAACATTAATTTATTTTTAAAAGTTTTATTGTACTTAAAATTTTTATGTTTAATTGTTTCTTTAATTTGGTAAATATCTATTTTTATTTATATTTTAGATATATTGCTAAATTGCATCATTTTAATTGTTTTTTTTCTATTGTAAACTTTTATATGGAAGTCTTTTAGAATAATTTCTAGTAAATAAATGTATTTTATTAAAAAAAATATATATATTTGAAATAAGATTTTATAATTTAGATTATTTATAATTTTAATTTTAAATAAAATAGATATATAGTTGTTTTTCATAAAATAATACTTTTAAAAATATTGATCTTCATTATTTTAAAATCTTTGTTAATTTTTTTCCAAGAACATTATTGTAAGGTTCTAATTTGCAAATATTCCTTATTTATATATTAATATATTTAAAAAGACAAAAAAGAATACTTTTTTAATAATTTATTTTAATAATAAAAATATATTAATAATATAAAATAAAATATTTAATAAAAAATAAAAAGAATATAAATAGACATATATTAATTTGTATATTATTTAAATAATTAGAAAAAATATATTTGTATATATATTTATATATATATTAATATATTTATATATATAAATATATACCTATTTATATTTTTTTTCCTTTTTAAAATTTCTAATAATTAAGTTTTTTTTACTTTCTATTAATTTTTTTTATTGTTTATATATTTTTTTTTTAATAAAGAATTTTAATTTTTAATATAATAATTAAATTTTATATATTAATATTCGAAATATTCATCTATTTCTCAAATACTATTTATTTTTATTAATTTAATTTTTTTTTTTAATTTATATTTATATTTTTAATTATTTTTAATTTTATATTTAATTAATATATAAAAATATATATACTTTATCAAAAATAATATAGTTATAAAAATATATAAATGATTAAAATATTTCATTTTCATAAAAAATCTTTATTATATAATTTTAAATTTAACTTATATTTATTTTGTACTAATTTTTCATCATAAAGTGTCTAAATTGATGACATCTAATAATATTTAGTAGAAAACAATCAATAAATTTTGGAATAATTAAGAAATTCATTTTCAGTTTCTGATGTATTAGAAGTTTTTTAACGAAATAGAAATTAAATAAATCATGAAAACATATATTTTATAATGAAAGAATTATAGCCAAAGATATATATAACTTATGATGATTAGAATAAAATATAAATGTAATAATTATCTTAATTTCTTAATTTTGTTGACACATAAATAGATTAAATGTAGATATATACATTAGCATAAACATTAACTTTATATAGAAAAATAATCACAAATGGTTAATATATAAATAAATAAATATTTTTATATTAATATATGTTTTTTAAATAAAGGTTTTGATAATTTAAAATCAATAAATGATAAAGCTTTAAAAATAAATAAAAAATTATACTAAATGTTAGAACCAGAAAATACAAATGCAAAATTAATATGTGAAATATTTCTAGATTGTACTACTATAGGCTTAAAAGCTGATAAATGGTTTTATATTTTAGTATAACATTTATAAAATGAAGATTAGCAGAGCTATTTTACTCATTAGACTATTTTTAATATTTTAAAAGGTTGTTCCCATAATTATAATTATGAAAAGCATGCAGATTTCATATATAAGCTTTTAGATAAATTATAAACTTAATATACTTGTTATGATTTTAGTAGAATATGTATATTGTTTAATAAAATTTCTTATTTTTAACTTCATTTTCATACAAAGCATATGAGCTTTCATATTGTTTTAGGTGAAATAAAAAAATATATAGAAGATAATTTAGATTAAAACATCAGTATTAATAATGCTAATAATATTATTGCTGCATATATATAGTATTTTTTTTACTTTTAATTTATATAAGGAATATATATTTTTTTTTAAAAATAAGTGTTCCTTTTAGTTTCGATAATAAATTATTATATAAATGTGCATAATATATGTATGAATAAATTTAAAAAAATCACTTATCTGTGAGATAAATTGTTAAGTTTTTAAGAATTGTAAATGACTAAAAATAAGAATAAATTAAAATGAGAAAAGTTTAATATTAACTAATTTTTTAAAAGTTATAAAAAAAAAAGTTTAATTTTCTTTTTTAATTTACAAAAAAAAAAAGTTTAAAAAAGAGAGTACAAAGCTCTAAATTAAATGCTGTTAATATTTTTTAAATTTTAGATGCAGTTTCAGGTACAAATTAAACTTTTATTGATAATTAGTTGCTTTAATAAATTGAATATTAGGCATTAACAATTCCTTAAGATTAATGGACTGAAGGACTATTTTTGAATTTCTTATAAAGCTTTTGTAAAATAAATTATGATATATCTAAACTAAAAGAATTGTTTTTTAAAATCTTCAAGAATTATTTTGATTAATTAACTATAGAAAAGACTTTGAAATTTATATATATACTAGAATACTAAATTAATCAGAATAGCAAATTATAAAAAGATTTTAATTAAGAATTAATAAGATAAAAATAAAGATTTTAAAATTATATATAATAAATAGATATTCAAAAATTAAGTGAATTAACTAATTTTTATGGTATTATTTTTTTTTTTTACTTTTTTTTTTTTATTTAAATAAAAAAAGCTAATAATTTTAAAATAAGAATTGATATAAATAGTTAATTTTAAACTCTATTTTAATGTTAAAACTTATTAATAGAAAAAATAAAAGAAAATTTTGATAATTTCAACTTAAAAGATAAAATAGAAATAGTCTTTAATGTTTTTTAATTTAAAGATTATTCGTCATATAATTGGAAAGAATTTTCTTAAAAAGTTTACTTTAAATAAACCAAAAAATTATAAAATACTTTAATAAGAGCTTATTTATATTAACAAGAAAAATAATATTGTAAATTAGAATTTTTATTGAATTCTTTTATTGATTCAAATGAGTTATTGTACGAAAACTTGTTTTTGAAATTTAAATGTATCATTTTATCACCAAATTCATCTCTTAAAAATAAAAAAGGAACATATTTAAATCAAATTAAATATTTTATTGACAAATTAGACGTTAAATAAATAAATTTCAAAGAATAAAATATTGATGTTAGTCTTATTATTAAATTAGATAGAGATTTTAAAAATTTAAACTTTTAAACTAATTTTTGTGAAAAAGCAATACTTGAATATGTTGAATAAATAAAAGACTAAAATACAGTATTATTTAAAAAAAAATAAAAAAAATTAAAAATAAAAAAAAAAGTAATTAGATGTAAATAGAATTTGCTAAATTGGAGAATGGATAAGTTTAAACTTAAATACAGTAAATAGTTTTATTTTAAAAAAGAGAGATAGCATATTAATATATTTATATAATTAATTAAAACCGTAATTTAGTTAAATAAGCATATAAGATGAACATTTTTTGAAATATTCGAGTTAGCTTCTATTAATATAGAATGCAATAAGAAATAAAGACATATAATTATTTGATGAATAATATTTTTAATAAGTATTTTAAAACTGTTTAAATAAATTAATTAATATTAAAGATTATTAATTATTAAATCCTGTAGGTTTAATTCGTTATATATTCCAAATAGGAATTTTCGAAATAGAAGATATAGTGAAAATAAACTAAGATAATTAATAAATATTGATATAAATACTCGAAAATTAAATTAATAAAATTAATATTTAGGCTTCAACTGTTCATTTATAATAATTAAAAAGCTTAAAAAAAACAAGCCTTATTTATTCAATAATATAAGCAAAAGAAACTTAATAATAAAAAAATATATGGATTTAATATATTTATTGTATAAATAATCAAAAGGACATAAAAATTCAGATATGCTATGTGAATTATTCTCATATTTTGGGTATTTTATTGAGTTTTATAATAAAGAAGAACTTTTATTTAGTTTACAAAAGGATATTAAAGAATTAACTACTAAATTAAATGCTACACATATCCAAAATATAATGCTAACTATTGGGTAAAACAAACTTTATAATAAGTAATTTTTGGATTAATTAACTAATCATATATAGAAATATTATCCTTTTTATAAAACTTGTTATGTGGATATTTGTTGTACTTTTTTATAAGTTGGATATTTAGGAAATAAAGAATTTTTATATTAAATTATTCGAAATTTTTATGAACAAATGCCTGTTATGGAAATGTAATTAGCTTGGTGTGTTATTATTATGGATTTTGAAAATAAAGATTTTGATTTTTTTAGGCATTTATATAAATAAAGCTTTTAGAAAATAATTGAATTGTAAAATTTAAAAAAAGGATTCTTTATTCGAATGATTAAAAATTTATTTTCTTATGGACTACTTAATTTTAATTAAAAAGAAAAAAACTTTTAGGGGATAATCTAAATGATGCCAATTTATAAATTAACAAAATTTAAAATTTTATTTATTAATAAAAATAATTAAAATACCCAAAAAGAGAAAAACTTTTTAATATTTTTAAAAATAATAATGTTTAGTTTGCTTAAAATTATTTTATTAAAGAATATTTCCTTGAATGCGATTTCTTCTTTCAAAATGAAAAAATTATTGTTATTGTTAATGATAGCTTTTATCTTAATTATGATAATTAAAGTTTATCTGGATATGCTATTATAAGAAATAAACTTTTCGATTTGCTTATTAAATAAGAATAATTTAAAGATTTTAAGGTTATTTGTATAGATGGGTATTATTTCAATAATATTAATGATTAATAATAATAATTAGATTATCTAAAATAAATGGGACTGATATTTTTATAGAATAAATAAGCAATTTAATGATATAAAATTTTTAAAAAGATATATTATTTTTTTTTTAGTTACTTATATGATGAAAATAATTCTTTTTAAAAATCAAATTATTTAATAGAATTTTATTATAAAATATTTTTCTTAACAATAAATTATATGTTGTTTTAAATAATATGAACTTATTTAAAATAATTTTAATAAATAGTCAATATTTTATTTTTAAAAAAAATTAAAATCATTAAAAAAAATATATTGTTTACTATACTTTAAAATATATATTAGATAAAATATATTTTTAATTTTATTAATATATTTTTATTATTATTATTTTTTAATTATATATGCAATTTATTTTCTATAAATATTTTATCAGATTCTATTTTTTATTTATTTAAAAAATAAATAAATATTTTTTATATACATTATAAGCTTTTGATGATTTATTTTAATTATTATATCTATAAATATAAAAATATTATTATTATTTTAATATTTCATTTTTAATTTATAATAGTTACTTTTTAATTCTCTAATTTATTTGAAATATAAAAAAATTGATTTTTAAAAACAATATATATTAGTAAATAAAAAATAATTAAATTATACTAAAAAAAAAAAAAAAAAAAAAAAAGGAAAAAAAAAAAAAGTTTCAAAGTAATTTTATTTTCTTAAATATAACTTTTGTTAAAAAAAATCAAAGTCTTAAATCTTAAAAATATAACCTGAAATTGAAAAAACACTTGAATTTTTAAAATAAATAAAAGTTTTAAAAATTCAATTAATAAAATATATTATCTTAGCTTGTAAGTTCTATAAAGTTGAAATTTTATGCAAAAGATTAAGTTATATTAAATTAAAGTTATTATTATATAAAATATAATAATTATTAAATATAAATTATCTTCTTTTTTTTTTTTTTCTTAAAAATAGATTTCAATACTCATAATATTTATATTTTATTTAAAGGATAAGTCTGTTGTTTTTTAAGAGAAATTCATTAGGTAAAAATATTAAAAGAAGGTGACACTTTTGGGGAATTAGCTGCAACATTTAATAAGGCTTGCAATATTAGCTATGTAGCATAAACTAATTGTTAAATATATTTTATTTAAAAGCAAGATATACCCTCTTTACTTAAATAATTAGAAAAAGAAAATAATTTAAAATAAAATAATAAGGCTTTTTATAATTCTTCTATATTTAATGATTGGGATTAAGGATCTCTTAGTTTTTTATATTATTTAAGTGAAGTTTAAAATTATGCAGTTAACCAATATGTTTATTAATAAAAGCAATAAGTGGATGGAATCTATTTAGTTTTATAAGGAAGTTTTACTGTAAATAGAATACTTTTTTAAAAATTTATTTTTTTTATATAAAAAAAGTAATCTTTTTAATAATAATAAACAAATCTATAAAATACAGACTAAGAAGTAGAAAATTATGAAGGTCTAATTTTTTAAAAACAATTAAAATAAATGATATCAAAAGTAGAAGAAAAAAAAAAAAAAAAAAAAAAATATTTTTGATTTTAGGTAAGTTAATTTACAATAGGTTAGATTTTTGGAGAATAGGAAGTTTTAGAAAATATTAATAGAAAGTTTAATGTATTTTCAGAAACTAATGATGGGAAACTATTATTTATAAAAAAATCTGTTTTTATAAATTTTGTATTCGAAAATCCATTGAGTAAAGAAATTATAAACGGAAAATTATAAAAAAGGGATTACTTTTAAGGAAAATAAATTAAAAATATTAAAAAAAATTTCGAAGATTTTAATCAATATATATTTGGGTCAAACACAAATAAATCTTATAATAAATATAATACAAACTAGTAATAAGAATAATTTAATTAAATAGATACAGATATAAGTAAAACAATAATAAAATAAAATTTCAAAAAAGAAGATTAGATAAAAGATTTATAAGAAAAAGCAAAATTAGAAGATAATTATTTTACAGAAAAGAAAAAACAAGAAAATTAAAGACTTAATTCTTTCTCATCTAATAGCAAGTAAAATAAAGGAAATTGCAAAAACGAATTATTTTAGCTTATTATTTCTAAAAATACTAGAAAAAATAATAAACATAAATTAAAATTGAATATGTTATAATGTAGTAAATAAGAAAAGTAACCTAAGGTTGATGTATAAAATAATTAAGATGAATATTTAAATCAAAGAAAGCTATATCATCAAAACTTTATGAAATTAACGAAAGAATAAAGTTTAAATTAAACTGAAGATTAATATGTTTATAAGAATTTATTAAATTTAAATATGTCTTAGGCAAGTATTTTGTAAAAGCAAATATAAAATAATAAAAATTAGAATATAAAAAATAAATAATTATTAATGAATTCGTATTATTTAACAAATAAAAATGATATAAAAATATTTAAAATACATGATAGTGAGGATAATTTTTTTTAAAAAAACAATAAATAATTTTCTACTGAAAATACGGAAGAAAAAACAATACAAAATTAATCTTTTGACCTATATTAAAATCTAAATAATTAATTAAAAAAAGTAATGAAAACTTATAAAAATATAGTGAGTGCCAACTAGCTAAATTTATAATAAGAACTTAAAGATAAATCAATAAATAAATAAGGATTTAATTTTTAAAAGACATATTTTTAGAAAAATGAAGAGAATAATTGCCATAAAAAATTAAATATGGTCATTTAGAAATAATATTTTTTTTCTAAATTATAAGAATAGAAAAATAATAGTGAGAATATTATTATTGATAATGATTAAAAAGCAATTCCTAAATATAACAATTTCATTTAATTAAATTTAAATTCAAGATTTTAAAAAAGTAAAGAAAATAAAAATCATTAACCTTTTTCAGTTTCAGCTATTAAAAATAATAGAAAAATGCAAGTTTTAGCATATAATTTTATTAAACCTTAGTAAATAAACTCTTAGTTTTAATCAACTAAAAAAGATGAATCTTATACAGAAAAAAACTAAAAAAATAAAGGAGTTGAAAAAAACAGTATTTTTTATAATCATAATTTGCATGAATAATGAATTCTTACTATTATAAGTATTTTTTTAATTTATATTTAAAAAGTAATATACAAAATATTATTAAATATAATTTATTTTTATAATAATGATTTATATATTTTACTAAAAAAATAAAATAAAATAAAATAATTCAAAATTAATTTTCAAAATAAGATTCATTTAAAGAATCTTCTTTTAATTCATCTAATTATTTTTTGCTTTTACCAATAACTATAGCTTCTTTTAATTTTTTTTTAGATTATTTTCGAAAATCATATCCATTTTCAATATCTTAAGTTGCTTATTATAATTTTCTAACAATTCCTATATGCATTCCATCCTTAAAATTGATACTAAGATTAAATATATTTGACAAAAAATAAAATATAAATAAAAAAAAAATACAAATTCGCAGATATAGGAACACATCTATGAAATGGTTCTTCTAAATCATTTTCTATTAATTAATCGACTTTTTTAACATTTTATATTGAATCATCTAATAATTATAAGAGATATATATTATTAGTAGCTGCTTATAATAATTCTTCTTTACTTAAAAGACCATCTTTATTTAAATCGTTATCTTTAAAAATTTGTCTTATAATTTACTTCAACTTTAATTTAGAATCTTCCGAAAAAAGATTTTGCTTTAAAACTTTATATAGTTCTTATTAATTTATATTTCCATTATGATCTAAATTACATAATTCCATAAATACTATTAACTTATTTTCAATTGAGTTTTCTTTAAACATTTCTAAACCAACTATAAGTTCTTTATAATCTACTGTTTATGAATTATCTTCATCAAAAATGCTTTTTTTAATTAGTAAAAAAAAAAAAAAAAATTTTAATTAGTCTTTTTTTTTTATTTTTACTAAAACAATTTATCACCTAAATTTATATCAGCACCTAATCCTACTAAAGTTAATAAATCTCCAAATTCTTATCTATTCATTCCATCAGACTATGTTTTATTTTTTTAAAATAATTATTCATATTAATAAATACTTTGCTACGAGCATGTCTTAATATTGTTTAATAGTTTGAAAATAATTATTTTAATACATCTTGTTTGTTTTATAAAAGTTATTATATTGTCTTCCATTTCATTTTAAATTTTGATTTTGTAGGTATTTTCTTCTTAAAATTTTCTAAATTAAATTCTTAACCAGTTTTGCATATATTTAACATTACAGAAACTGAACCTTTGGGAACAGGTAATGCAGTAGAATTAATTTTACTTTTGTCAGAATATTTTACTTTGTTTTAAAATTTCTATTTTTTATGTTTTTTATAAAATTAAATAATTTTTATTTTTTTTAACTTATTCGCATATAAAACTAAATATTTTTGCTTGTTTTTCATGATAAGTTGCTTTTTAACTACAAAATCTTAAATCTTTTTTATATTTTATAATAAACAAACAAATATAATATTTTATTTTTTTAATACTTGAAAATCTTTTATCTATGGGAGAATTAAATATTTAAAAAAGGCTTTTATCTTGTATTTGTTATGATTAAAATTATTAACGAAAATTATTTGTTTTTTTAAAAATAAATTTTTTAGATGTATTATTCATGCTTTATTTATCTAATAAATTCAATTAGTTTTTATTTTAATTTCTTAAACTATCTTATATAACGTTAAAAGTAATACAGTTTTTATTTATTAATTTTGATTACTAAGCTTCATTTTAATTTAAATATCCTAAAGAGGTTTTACAAAATTGTCTACTTTTATGCAAATAGTTATCATCATTGTCTTTAAAAATTCTACTTTTATATAAAATATTAAATGGTTTTTATTTCATTAAAAAAAAAATTAAATATATTTAGAAATAAATTAAAAATAAAACTAATAAAATATAATACTAATTATAATAAAAAAAAAATTAAAAAATAAAATGAAAAAAAATATTAATATATTTAAATATAATTATTTATAAGTAAATTTAAATAATTAAAAATATATTTATATATTTATATGTTTATATATATTTTTATATATATAATTTTTATTAAATTATATATAAAATTATTTTATATTCATATAATTTAACATTTATTTATTTATATAATTGTTTTAATTTTAGTATTATTATATACAAAAAAAATATATTTAAATTTTTTCTTTTTTCTTTTTAAATTTTAAATTTATTTTTGTATTAAATAATATTTTTTATATAATAAATATTAACATTATTTTTTTTTTTTGCATATCGAATAGATAATATATAAGTTAAATTATTTTTTTTTTTATAATTAAATTTTTAGCAATAGTATATTCTAATTCTATCAATAGTATATTTTCAAATTCTTTATGAAATTATTAGTTTATTAAAATATTTTTTAAATATTTAAACTTAATTTAATACTTTTCATTAATTATTTTTAATTATTTAAAATAATTTCACGGCAACATTAATATGTTTTTTTTTTATAATATATAAATATTAAATAAATTTAATTTTATAAATAAAGTAATAATTTTTCCCTTTTTTATAAATTATTAATATATAAATATAAAATAAATTTTCAGATAACTTCATTTTCTTATTAGCATTCACCGAGTACATAATAATCAACTATTTCGTGTTGACAAGCTTCGCAACCATTTTCATAAGATTAACTGCACAAATTTTTCACACAATTAGTATTTAAGTTGAAATATCCACAAACTTTTTCATCTATCATTTTTATTTTTATATAAATATAATAATTTATAAATATTATATAAATGAATAATTTATATACTTTTTTATCTTCTTTAATTTAATTAAACTGAACATTTAAATATGTCTTTTAAATTAGGATTACAAAAAACAGCATTTTGTGGAAAATTATTACAATCTCCATCTATCATAAATTCAATTATTCTTTATTTTTGCATGCTTCACATTTATTTAAGTATGTAAATTTACATTGTTTTTATCTACAATTTATTATTCCTTTTTTTAATACGACGCAGACAGGTTCATTTATTTATGGGCAATTTAAATTATCTTCATTATCGTAAAGGATACATTAATTCTAAAATGAAAATTTCGATAAAAATAATAAAAAAATAAAATAATTTTCATTATAAAAGGTTTTTAATTTATTATAAAATAATTTTTATATATATTGAAAAATATATCATTTGTATATTAATAATATCAATTATGTATTAATAATATGAGTTATTAAATCATATATTATATTTTTGATATTTATTTTTTGTTTAAAAATATATATATATATATATATATATATATATAAATGAAAAAAAATTTAATAAATAATAATAATATAAATATTATTTAAGAAAAATATAATAATAATATATTAAAAATATTAAAATAATAATTTTAATTATTTATTTTTTTAATTTTATATAAAAAATTATATTTTCTAAATATTATTTATTCTTTTTTAAAATAAAAATATTAGAAAAGCTAAATAATAAATTAAAGGAAAATATAATTTTATTGTTTTGATGATTTTTATTAAAATTTAAAAATTTCTATTTTAAAAAAATACATTTTAGTTTTTATATTATAAAATAATTCAAAACTTAATATTATTTAATTAATTGATAAAAAAAAATATTTTAACTAATTAATTAAAATATAATTATAAATTAAATTATATAAAAAAATTACTTAATATAATAATTACTAAATATTTAATTATATATATTAATAAAATAAATAATATGAATTTTGGATTTTCTAAAATAATATTTATATATAATTATTTACTATTAAAAATATTTATATATAAATGATTATTAATATTTTTAAATTTATAAAATATTCATGAATATATATATTATTATATATTTAAAGTTTTTTGTTTACAATTATTTGCCTTTATATTAACTCAAGTAATCATTATTTTTAATATATTTAATTTCTTATTTTTTTTTTAAATAATTACTATTTTTTCTTTATTTTATCAAGTATATTAAATAATATATTCTTAATTTAAGAAAGTTTTAATAAAAACTTGAAAGTTAAGAAAAAAATAATATAAAACTAAAAAAAATTTAATAACTGAGAAAATTAAAGTTATTAAAATTTAAAATAATCTAGAAGCTTATTAATATTAAGATTTAAACATTTATACAATTATTAAAAAAAAATATCTAATAAATAAATTACTTTACTGTAAATTAATGATACTTAAAACAAGCAATTGTAAATTAATGACACAATTTAAATATGATGATTAGAAATTGACAAAAAATTTAAAATAATTTTAAATATTAATCTATAAAAATTATAAAAACTAACCTTTTTATAATAATTTTATATTATTATTTTTTTAAAAAAAGAAAATGTAATAAAACAGATAAATATGTATCCCTAATGTAAAAAAATAAAATAAACATAGAATAAAAATAATTATAATAAGAATATTATAAAAATATTAATAAATAAATTAATCATGTAATTTAATTAATAAAACCTTATTGTTTATATTAAATTGAAATTCAGAAAACAAAGAATAATTGAAATTAAAAGCTTTAAAAACTAAATGAAATTAATAATATTAATAATAAAAAATAGTATTATAAATGAAATATACAAAAAAGAACATAGAATAATAGATTTTAATATGAAAAATATATAATTAATTTATGAAAAATATTATTTAAGAATATTTATTATTAAATATAAAAAAATATAATATAAATTTACATATATATTTTTATTTTAATTATTATCATTTTAGATGTGTTATAACATTTATCCATAAATAATCACTTTTTTATAACAATTCTTAATTAAAGATTTTAAAACTAAATTTTTAGTTTCAGAAAAAAAAAAAAAACATTATTTTTAAAATAATTAAATTTTATGAAAATAATATAAAAAAATTATTCTATATATATAAATATTATTTCTAATTATTTTCATATATTTTACTTTTAATTATATTATTCATTCATCTTATTTTATCCATTTAATTCTTTTACCATCTTACCAAAAGCCTTCTTTTGATTTACCTTCTTAATTAATAAATATACCATTTCCATACTTTAATTTAATAAGAAAAATTTGAAAAAAATAAATATATATATATATATATATATATATATAATAAGTACTTATTTTCCATTATACCAATTTCCTTTATATGCTCTTTAATCAGGCCAATAAAATTCTCCATATCCATGTTTTTTATCATCAAAATATTTTCCTATATAAACTCTTCCATCTAAAATATTAATTATATATTTTTAATATTAAAAAAAAAAAAAATTTAAAAAACCAGGCCAATTAAATTATCCTTTTCCTTCCATTCTATTATTTTTCCATTATCCTTTATAAATCCTTCCATCTTCCCAATTATAAATACCAAATCCTTCAATTTAATTATTTGAAAACTCACCTTCATAATATGATCCATCTGACCAAGTAAATTTACCTTTACCTTGTTTTTTTCCATCTAAAAATTCACCTTCATAAATATCTCCATCTGGCCATTTTTCAATTCCGTTTCCTTATTATTTATCTGCAAACCATTAACCTATATATTATGGACCATCTGCATGTATATAAGTACCATATCCTTAAGCTTTATCCATTAACCAGTCTCCTTCATATACTTAGAAGTAAAAAATAATTTTTTTTTTATTTTTATTTTTTTTAAAAAAAAATCAATAAATACTATCAGAATCTTAATGGATTAATCTTCCTTTACCATGGGCCATGTTACTTTACCAATAACCTTCGAATATTGATCCATCTTTCCATATTTATTTTCCTTTTCCATGTCTTTTACCTTATTTCCATTAACCTATGTATATAGCCTCATTTTGAAGAATATATGGTTCTAGATAAACTGCATCTTTGTCTTCATATTCAGGATATTTGTATTGATAAGGTCCAAGCTTTTCGTATGTATATTTAGTTAATATGTTCATATGATCAGGAACTTTATCAATTATAGTTGCAAAATCTTGAGATGGTAGGTTTATATCCATTTCAGTATTATTTGTTACTATTATTTAGAATGGAAAATCTTTTTTTATTATAACAAAGCGTTGTTCATATTATTTGAAATTTTTTCTTGTTAAGAATCGATTTCTTCTATTGTTTAAACTTAAAAGGATTTTTATTTTTATAACATATTATTTTGTTAGATGGAAAGTCCGGAACTTGCATTATATGGAAGTTAACAACAACCCATTTGTTAATTATTTTTTTAAATTTTTTTGTTATTTTTTTGCTTAAAATTTGATTTGATATTTATTCATTTTTATTTTAATTAATAAAATTTTATTTTTATAAAAAGATTAAAAATTTAAGCAAAAACTGATTATATTGCTATTTTTTTTAAAAAAAAAGCAATAAAAAAATATAATTAGAATATTTTAAACTAAACAAAAAAAATTAATTAATATATAAAAATATTTATAAATACTATTAGCTCAAGAAAATTAATTCTACTTCAATATTATTAAATTTTATTTTATTTATTTATTTATTTATTTCAATATAAAATTATAGATTTTAAAATATCAATATTTTTATAAAAACTTAAATATTTATGAATAAAAACTATTAAACAAATAAAATTTAATTTTTTTCTTAATATCATGATAATTAAGAAAATAAATCTGTTTTTAGATAATAATAAAGTTTTTAAGAACTAATTGATTTAAATTAATCTTTTAATTACATAAATTATTAAGATAATTACAACAATTTAAGTTATTCATTAGAAAATCTACTATTCGATAAAATTGATGATATAAATAAGGATAAAATAAATATTAGTCAAGAGAAATTTGTATAAAAATAAATGTAAGAAGAGAATCAATAATAAGTTTTAAAACTCTAAAAAATAGTTTTTACAGAAGAAAAAAAAAAATGTTTAGAAAATGAAAAAAATATGAAAAAAAAGAATCCTTTCGTTATTAAGTAAATTAAAAAGCCAAGAAAATAATAAAATATATAAAAAACATAATTCAATTAAAAAAAATATGAAAATTTAAACAAAAATAATAGTTAGTTAATTGCTAAATGGTATTTAAATTAAGTAGAGAATTTAACATAATAATAAAAATAATTAAATGAATAATTTTAATAAAAATAGGATTATATTGATTATGAAAATGCTTTACTTTTTAAAGATTTAAATTTAAGCTTTCAAACTGATAATTCTAATATTTTTTTAAAAAAAAGTAAAAAAATAGATACAAAACCAAAGTTTATTATTAATTCTGATAAAAAATATTTAAATAATGATTTAATAAGTTAAATTGATTAAAAATTTTAAGTTATTTAAAAAGACTTATAAATTTCTGATATTTAAATATAGAATATTTAAGAATTTTTAAATTAGAATAAAAATTAGTCAAATAATTGTGATAGGAATTAAAATCTTAAATAATTATAAAATAACGTAAACAATAATAAATAAAAAGTTTTTTTTTGCAAATATTGTAATAAACCTTTTGATAGACCATGTTCTTTAGGTAATATATATTTTAAAATTCTGTAATATATTTAAATTTATCTTATATTAATTATATAATTACTAAAATAAAATTATATAAAAAACTAATATAAATAAATGATTGTTTTAAAAATAGATTAATAAATTATTTAATTATAATTAATTCATTAATTTTAATGATTCAATAAAAATTAAATAAAAGTACTTATTCATATTTTAAATAGATAATTTTTTAATAATTACATTAAATTTATTAAATAATTTAAACTTTCAATAACAATAATTTTATTTTATAATTTTTTTTACTTTATTTAATATAATTATTATAAAAAAAGGTGGACACATTAGTAAAGCTCATAATTAGAATTAAAAGACATAAAATATTAATTAAAAAAATAAAATAATAAAAAAGAAATATGTAAAAAAATTAAAATAAATTTATAAATAAGAAAGCAAATTATAATGAATTTCAAAAATTAGTTTATTTAAGATCAAATAAAATATATAAGTATAAATCTACATTTAAAATTAAATGATAATTATATCTATTTTTTAATTATATTTTTTTCTACTTATTTTGTTATTTCTTTATATTTTATTAATATTGAATTAAATTAGTATGTTTTTTTTGGTGGTAAAAAGCTATAAATATATATTTTTGGCGCCTGATAAAAACTATTTAAAAAATCATTAATATTATTAATAAATAAATAAATAATCTTTGTTAATTTATCGTTAAATAAATAAAGCAAATTATTCTTTAAAAAACTTATTAATAACAAAAATTAAACTAAAAAAAAAAAAAAAAAAAAAAACAGTTTCAAAAAGTATAGTATATATACTAATTAAAATAATTTAAAAAATGAATAATGAAAACCTTTAAACTTCTAATTTTACTATCAAAAAGTTAGATCTCTAAAAAAAATTAAATTTTAAAAGTAAATTTTATATACATGTATATATATATTAATAATGCCTTAAAATAACATTATTGTATTTCATGATTAATTTTCTTTTTTTGAGGTTTTTATAATATATAGTTAATGTTTATAAAATTATTAGTCTATTTATATATTTAAAAATTTCGAAAATTTATATTTATTTAAAATTATTAAACATAAATATTATATTTATATTTTTTTTTATTCATTTTATTTTTTTAATAAGATATTGATATTAATATTTATAATAATAAACTTTAATTATGAATATTTAATAAAAATAGTCCTAAATAAAAACAAACTTTATAAAAAGATTCTTTCAAAATATAAAAATTAAACTTCAAATCACCAAACTAATTATATTCTTTTCAAAACGAAGTAAATACACTCTTAATTGAAAATAATAATAAAAATTGTAATAATTAAATAATTGTAAACAAATAAATTAATTTGAATAACTAATTTTAGATTAAGATTTCTAAAATTGAAGATTATCCTTAATTATAATCTTCATAACAAACTTAATAATAAAAAACTTTCATTTAATTAGGAAATATTAATAGTGTTCATTTAGGTGAAGATAATAAACTTTATGATCTTCTAGAATCTAATAATAATATTTAAAATAGTAATAAAATTGTAGAGTAGAAAAAAAAAGAATTAGTAAAAAAAAAGAAAATAAGATAAGTAATAAAATTGATAATATAAGATAATAAGGAATTAATAATTTTGATATTTATAATTAATTTTAATTTATTAATAAATAAATTTACTATTTACTACTTTAAATGGTTAATATTTAAAAATTAAACGAAGAATAAGATAATTTACAATTAACTAAATATGAAATAAATGAAATTTGATATTAATAAAAAACATGACTCTAAAAAGACTATTAAAAAAAATACATCTTTTATAATTATTTTATTTAAATAATTTTTTTTAATACCTTTTATGTTTATATAATACAAAAAATATTTTCTAAAATTTTTTTTTTTTTTTTATAAATTATGAATATGTTTTATTTGAAAAGTTTATTAAGAGAAAAGTTTTGTTTAAGGAAATAAAAGCAAAACATTTTATTTTAAAATTATAAAATAATAATTTTTTAAGTAATAATTAAAAATTAATTTTAATTTATAAATAATATTTATTTTTTATATACATAAAAAATATATATATATTTATGTTTTTTATTTATTTTTTATTATTGTTAACAATTAATATTATAATATATATACTAATTTTTTTTAATATAAACTTATAATCATTAATTTTAAAATTAAACTAAAATTTTAATTTAATTTATAATTTTAATTAATATGTTTATTATTAATTATTTAATCTTATCTTATTATAAGATACAAATATATAATAAAATAATATAAAAATAATTAAAATAACATTATAGATAATTTTTAACAAAAACTATATCATAAATATTATAAATGAAAAAATATATATATATATATGATTTTTTTTTAATATAATATATATATATATATATATATATATATATATATGTATATTATATATATATATATATACATATATATATATAATAAATAAAAAAATATTCGATTAAAATTAATAAAGTAAAAAATACTTTATAAAATTAAAAAAAATGTATATAATAAAATATACATAATAATCTGTAAATAAAAAATTTATTAAATCGATAAAAAAAAAAGATAATCATAAAAAAAATCAATGATGTGAATGTTTTTTATCTCCAGGGAAATCTATTATTAGCATTCCATTTTACCTTTCTACTACATTGATTTTACTTAAACCATTATTTGTTTCAAGTTAATTTGAATCTGGATTTTTTTTAATAAAATCCAAATATTCGTGATGTAAATTTCTCTTTTTATAAGTATTAAACAATCCAATATAAAATGTAATTCCAAAGGTTAATAAGAATATATTTCTGAACCATTTCCATCCGGTTCTCCAGTGATTATACTTAAAATAATCATAGTCTATAGATGCAATAAATCTAGATTTTCTTCTTTAATAAACCCATTTATCTAGATTTTTTATTACCGAAAATTATTCAGCCCTTTCTATGCTTATATCTTAATAATCCATAATATCTCCAGACATGTTCAAAAATTAATGCATTAATGCATCATGAGATTCACCTGGTTAACCTAAAGAAGCTCCTTTAAGTCCTTATCTGGTAGTTCCTTATCCTTTTACAGGTAAACCACCTTTATATCTTCCGAGATGGTCTACATTATATTTGGCTCTTTCTTCAGCTAATATCTTTTGCTTTTCTTCAGCAAATGAACCTTTCTTGTGTGGTTATCTAAAAACATTTCCGTCTGAATTTCTGCGTCTTAATAATTCATCTTCTAATGTTCTTTGGTCATGAAATAAACGGTGAGGAGCAGGCTTTTATAAAATATCATATGAACGGCGGGACTCTTCTTATGATAATACAGCGTATGCTTCGGCAATTTCTTAAAATTTTTAAGCGGATGGCTCGTGGATTTCTTAAGATGTGGCACTGACATCAGGATGGTATTTTAAAGCTAAATTTCTATATGCTTCTTTTATTTCTTAATCAGTTGATAAACGAGAAATTCCCAATATTTCGTAGTAATCTTTTTAAATTGTTGAAAAATTTTTAGTTATAATTCTGGATTGTAAATTGGTGAATTTAAATAATTTATTTATTAACATTTTTTTTTTCCTATTTTAATTTTATATAATAAATAATATATTGTATTATTTTATTTTTTCTTGTTTTTTTTATTTTTATTTTTTAAATATATATATTTAAATATATTTATAAATATATATATTAATATATATATATATATATATATATATATATATATATATATATTTTTATATATAAAACATAAATTAATTATATATTAATATATTTATCGATTTAATTAATAAAGTAATGTATTATTTTATAATTTATTATAGTTAAATAATAAATAATGATTAAAAACATTTTTATTTTCAATAAAAAATTCCTTAACAGAAATACTAATACTTATCATACCATTTAGCCCTCCAGTTATCTAGTGATTAATTAATTAAATTATTACAAAAAACACTCAATTCCCCATCATTCGAAACATTTTTAGGATTAAACCTCTCATGTAGATCAAAAATGCATTTTTCTCCTTTAATAAAACAAGGTAATGTTAATCCATGCCCACTGTACATCATTTTGACTAGTATTAATATTTTCTCCTAATGTTTACAGGCTGCTTAAAATCCTTTGAAAAACAATTTCCTGAATTTAGAAAAAAAATCGCTATTTAAACCGCCTAAAACTTCAACGTATTATGTCAGTAATTTAAATGGAACATTTTGTTCGAATCCAAGTCCCTTTCCAGGACTATTGGATAGAAAAAAACCAAAATCGATATGGATTATATTCCCATTTTTATGAAGTAGTATATTTCCGTTATGTCTGTCTTTTATTTAGAGGAAATAACAGACTAAAGAATAACCTACTAGGGAATAGAGGAAATTGTGTTATCCTTTTTTAAATTCATAATCGAAATAGAGTTTGAAGAAATTGGCTAAGTTAATTATACCTGGGAGATTATTGTGGATGTTTTTCATTAAACTGTCTAATGTGATGGAGTTTTTGACCATCTCGACTATCCCTTCTTCAGGGCCTAAAGAAAGAATTTCGTATGGGGTTAGTTTAAAGTTTAAGTTTTCTGATTTGAAGATTTAATCGAATTATTTTATTAGTTAAATGGCAAATTGTTCCTGTTTTAAATTATCGCCAGTCTTTATTATAATATGGACTAATTTCCAAGTCTTAAAGTTGCCAAAAGGAGAGTTTTTACGAATCCTTTGCTCTTATTCATCTTATTCTTCGCCAAAAATAAAATTTTGTAATTATTTGTGTTATTCAAGATCTGCTTAGTTGTTTTTTTTTCGAAAGTTTATTTCGGAAAACGCAAGGTTTTTTTATTTTTGACTTTCATTATTTTCATAATTATCAGAATAGGCTAATTAATTATCATCTTTTATATTTAAATTTGATAAAGATTCATTTTTTTATAATAATTCTGGCAAATTATTGTAAATTTAAGGGGGTACGCTTTATTAATATACACAAGATATACCTATATCTTCATTATCCTTTTTTTTATTTATTTTTAATGTTTTTTTTCTTTTTTTTTTACTTCATTTGGTTATAATAAAAAGTCTTTTTGTTTCTCGTGAAAACTTTTTAAATTATTTACTAAATGCGAATTTTTTATTATATTATTATTGGTCAGTTTTATATCATCTTATTATTATAATTATATTTATTAATCTAAATTTTAAAACTTCTATAATTTATACAAATTTATTAATTTATATATATAAATAATGATTTTTTATATATATTATACATGAATTGTTAATGGATAAGAAATTCTAGAGTCGTATATTTATTAATTTATATCGTTTTCGAAAATCTCCTCGTATCTAAAAATTTCTAGGCATAAATAAAATGGAGTTCTTTCTTTTGTTGAAAAAACTTTACTTTCTTCTACATTTATATTTAAAACTACATAATTTCTAATACTATCTTAAAAAAAAAAAAAAAAAAGATTATTTTTTTATTTTATTTAATTTTTATTTTATTTAAAAAAAAAAAAAAACTTGAAAAAAAAGGAATATAGACGGCTGAAGGTAATTATTCGTTAATTTTTCTTAACTAATTTTTTAAATCTGTTACTTTGTCAATAGAATACTTAAGATTTTAAGAAATACTGATGAGATCATTTAAAAAATTAATAGTGCTTGCAAATCCATCTACATCAGATTAGAAATCAAGTATACTATTTTAATCATTTATATTGTTAGAATTAATCTATTATTAATAATTTTTTAAATCAATGTCTTTAAAATCTACATTAAATTATTCTTATTATTAATTTATAGTCCCATACTGTTTAATAATTTATTGATTTTCTTTATTTTCTATTATTTATTTTTTTATTCTTGGACTTATATAATTAGTTGCCATTCCAAGTTTATCAACCATTTCACTCGCAATTAAATATTATCCATAATAAAATATTGTAAAATACTCAGAAAATTCCTCTAAAACTTACCAAACTTGATGAAAGTCCTATTTTCCTTATTTTGTATTTACTTAGGCTACACTTTTCATTTAGAAATATAATAAATGGGCAAAATAAAAGTCTATTTTACCCGCTGTTTTTAAAAATTGCTTTAATTCTTCATTGTTTAATTCTTCATGAAAAACGAAAAAAATACATATTTAAGGAATATAGAATTCTAAATCATCTCTACAATCATCCTTTTATTAAATAAAATTTGGGTTTATTCTTTTTTTTTTTATTTTTTTTTTTATAATTTTTTTTTTTTTTTATATTTTTTTTTTATTTTTTTCAGTAAATAATTTTTTGTTATTTTTTTTAAAAAATAATATAAATAAAAACCTGCTTTATTGTAATAATTATAAAATAGATTATATATTTTCTTCTATATACAAATTAACTAAAGTTTATAATGGATTTAGTATTTTTAAACCATCAGTTTATTATTTATATTATTATATTAGTATTTTTGATTTTTTTTTTCTTTAGTTTTAAGTTAATAAACTATAATCTTCTTCCTAGTTTTTTTGTTTATTTATTATTAAATTTTTATTAAATTTATATATAATACTTAACAAAAATGAAAACATTTACAGCATATGACTCTTGAAAAACAACCTTTTATTAAATTATTTTAAATTTTATTTATATTTTACCGTAGTTTTTTTTGCCTAATATAAATATATTAGATGAAGTCTTATCACAATTGTAATCTAAAATTTTATTATTACTTTAAGTTTTATTAATTTTAAATAATTAAGAGTTATTATTTGGGTTAATTGAATGCATTAGTTACTAAAAAAATTAATTATTTATTTTATTTATTAATATTTTTTATTTAAGTATTGAATAAAATGAATAATAAATAAAATATTAAAGATTTTATAAGGAATAATTTAAAGAAAAATATAATATAAAATTAATATATAATATATATATATATATATATATATATACATAAATTTATTATTATTTTTATTTTATATATTTCAAAAATAAAGTATATTATTTGTTTAATTTTTCATATTTATTAGTTTGTTTTCATATTTTAATATATTATGTTTTATTAATGAAAATTTGTATAGTGTTCTCTATAGAATCTTAAAAAGGGACTTATTATTATAAAAACTATTATAAAATAGAATTATACTTTATAATTTTCTTTACGACTTAATTTAAATATTTTCTATATAACAGGTGTTAAAATAAATATACTTATAAAAAATTTAAAAATCATAAAATTTATCCATAATTTTCTGTTTTACTTAAGATTTTATGTCGGTTTTAAAATAAATGTATTTACTGTTCCAGAAATAATTGCTATTATTCCCATTATTATAGTAAATATAATTTCTTATTTAGAAGGAATTTCTTCCTTTTAATAATTAAATAAATATTCATATATGATTTTTCCACTTAAATAGCAAACACTTAACATATGTAATAATCTAAAAATATATTTAATTATAAATTCTTTATTAATCATTATTAATATTTGTTTTTTATTTATTAATATAATAATTCTTTTATATAATTATATATATATATTGAATATTAAAAAAAAATATTAAAATAAATTTATTAAAAATAATAATATCTTTATACATAAAATTATAAATTTGGTATTTTTTTTTTAATAATTTTAACAGATTTATAATGTGTTTGATTTATAATGATTAAAATTTTAAATTTTAAATTAATATTTATATAACTTTTAATCCTAAATTTACAGATTTAAATATGTAAAAATAATTATTATTTTTATATTAAAAAAAATAAATGTAAAAAAAATAGTTTTTTTATTAAAATTTAATAAATTTAATTTTATAAAAAAATTATTTAAACAAAATATCATTTATAATATAACTAAGAATAAAATTTAAATTTAAATTAAAAATATCAAAATATCATATAAATTCTTATATTTTTACTAAAGAATTTTTTTTATAATAAAAAATATTTATAAATGCTTTTATTAATTTAATATTTTTTTTAATAATCATTAAAAAAAATACAACCCTGCAGGGACTCGAACCCTGAACCTTTGGTCCCGAAAACCACTGCTCTACCATTGAGCTACAAGGCTTTAACTAATATGTATTAAACAGTTTTAATATATTTATAATGTATATTTTATATAAATTATATTTAATTACAAAAATAATAATGAATGAAACATTAATTTCAGTTTAAATGATATATTTTTTTATATTTTTTTTTTTGTAGGTTATTAAAAAAAATTGACTTTTTTTTTTATTTAATATTAAATATTAAAAGTATTTAATTTATCAACTAAAATTTAAAATTATTATTTATATATATATATATATATATATATATATATATATATATATATTAATATATATTATATAAAATAAGTATAATATATATTAGTTTATAATTATTATATTTTTGTTTTAAAAGATATTATTTTTAGTATTTATAATTAAATATTTTATCTTTTTTATAAATAAGATTAAATAAAAAAATTTAGAATCATATTAATTAAAA